AGTAAGTCAAGCACTCAAGACCAAGCCATTGATTTAAGACACTTGGATTTTCCAAATGGGTGCCTACAAAGCCCTCGGCCTAGATGGCATCCAGGTGGGAGTATACCAACACTTCTAAAGTGACATTAATGTTGACATCACCTCCTTGATCAAGCAAATCTACAACTATGAGGTAATCCCATTTGACCTAAATCATACATTCATTTGCCTTGTCCCTAAAGTTAAAAATCCTTGCAAAATAACTGACTATAAACCAATATCTCTCTATAATGTAATATATAAAATTTTCTCCATGGTATTGACAAATCACATGAAGCTCCTTATGCAAGGGTTTATTGATCTAGAGAAAAATTCCATCGTCCCCAATAGAATGATCTTGGAAAGCATCTTCATGGTTCATGAACTATTTCATCACCTGTAGAATTGAAGAAAGTGAAGATTGATGGAAATGGGAATCAAATTGGATCTCAAACAAGCTTATGATCATGTTAGCTAGGATTTCCTATAAGCAATCATGGCAAGAATGGGATTTGACAAGAGGTGGATAAAGAAGATTGTCAAATGCACCCAGTCAATTTCTTACAGTGTCTTGATCAATGGGACCCCAATGGGCATAATCCGACCTACTAGAGGTATTCGTCAAGGAGACCCGTTGTCCCATATATGTTCCTTCTAATCATGCAAAGTTTTTTTTCCTTCTACAAACAAACTATTAAGAACGAAGAGTTTCAGGGGGTGAAGATAGCCAGATCAACACCTTGTATATCTCACCTACTTTTCGCAAACGACTGTATGGTCTTTTCAAAAGTAGATACTGAAAATTGCAGAGGTATGCATCTTCTTCTTCAGAGTTTTTGTGAGTTATCAAGTCAGAAAATTAACTTTCACAAATCAAGTATCTTTTTTAGCTCTTAACACCCCTCATAGAATCTGAAGATTGATTTCTAGATGGCTTCATATATCAATTACGGGCACAAGGAAATATTTAGGCCTTCTAGCAATGATGGATAGAAGTAAGAGAACCATCTTCCTAGAGATATGTGAAAAGGTGGATAAGAAGATTGCTAAATGAAAGCGGAGGCTCCTCTCTTAGGCGGGGAAGGAGGTGCCTAAAAGTTGTGGATTTATCTACACCCATCTATGCAATTTCACATTTCAAAATGTCGATCAACATCTGTAAAATGATAAATCAAATGATAACAAGTTTCTTTTCGGGAAAGAAATAGCAAGAACGAAGAATTCACTAACTAAGATGGCAAAAATTGTGTAACTCAAAAAGTGAAGGAGGAATGGGTTACAGACATATTTGGGCATTTAGTCGGGCTCTTCTCACCAGAAAGGCTTCGAGACTTATTAGAAACCCATATTCCTTATGGAGTAAACTGATCAAGGGGAAATACTTCCCTTATTCTACGTTTTGGGAGGCTACAATAGGTCATAAAGCATCACAGGCCTGGCGAAGCCTGCTGTGGGGGAAAGATGTTCTTAAAAAAGGATGTATATGGCGTATAGGGAATGAGAGTTCAATGAGAATATGGGAGGACAAGTGGATCCCAAATCAAGGCAATAGCCAGACTTATGACCAAAATAGGGAGAATTGCCCTCTTTTACAAGTACAGGACCTGCTAACCCAGCATCCTAGAAGATGGAATATGGAGACAAATCGTCAATGGTTCCACCCCCAAGAAGCCAATGTCATCCAAAGCATTCCTATTAGTTGGGGAATTCAAGAGGATACCATAATCTAGAATTTTCACAATTTAGGAGAATGCATAGTGAAAATGACTTATTATGTTGCAAAAGAATGATGGAAGAGGAATCTCAAACTACGAGCTACATGCCCCCTTGACCCAAATCATATTGGAAAGGTATATGGAGTCTTAACATTTCGTCGAAAATTATAAATTTTCTCTAAAGAGTGAGTCATGGGGCCCTACCGGTAAAATCATAGTTGAAAAAAAGGAAGATTATTTTGAAGGGTTTATGTCCCCACTATAAAAAAAGTGAGGAGACCATAGAGCACATAGCAGTGTGGTTTGGTTCTACACTTAGCACAAAGCTGAGCCAGGAGGACACTCTATCAGGTTGGTTATTGTAGTGGATTAAAATAGAAGATGATGAATCTAAAAAGCAAACTCAACGATTGATGGCAACAATTTGTTGGAACATCTGGACAACTAGGAACTGATTCATATTCTCCGATGAAAATTAGTTGCCATGCCAAATACTTTGCAAGATTAGGAAGGAGCTCTATTGGTGGGATCAAATCTCACAATCTTAACTAGCCATGCAAACAAGTCACAGAACTCCTCAAAAGTGGAATCCCTCTCCCCTTGATTGGTACAAGTTGAATATCGATGCATCCTTCATAGCCTATTCTCTAAAAGTTGGGCTTGGAATAGTCCTAAGATCATCTACAAGTGTTGTAGTAAGATTAAATGGAACCCAATCTTAGTGTTTGTTAGCTCATGTTGCAGAGATCATTGTAGTGAGAATGRGCCTCCAATTAGCTGCCCAAATGTGAATCCAGAAGCTTGTCGTAGAAGTGGATGCAGTAAATGTGATTTGTGAGATCCTTCAGGTATAGTAGAGTTATGCCCCCCTCACCCAAAATTTTGGAGAGATCAGTTTCTACCACTATGCTAGATCAACTAATACAGCAACCCATGAAGTTGCAAAGAAAGCGTTATAGTTACCTCCAGGCTTTCCTATGCTTTGGAACAATTTCAATTTCTTTGTAATCTTTTAGCATGATCTTGATGTAATGAATCAAGTTTGATTATCTATTAGAAAAAGTATTTTTTCATAAAAAATGTTAGCCCTTACAAGCAATTCTTGCTACAAAGATTCGTTGACCAGTCATTACTCCCACTATGACACCATTGCCGATGATTAAGTTTCGAATGTTGCATGTGTAATCTCTGTTGGTTCTAATGTTGTCCAATCCGTGGTGTTTCAAACAAAGGATGCAGTTAGATAAGTCATGCCAACTGGGTAGGGGCGAGGTGTAAGGATGAGAACATGCATCGAGGTCTGCAAGCACAACAAGATACCAAAGACCATAGGAAATTTTCCTCGGGAATGCACTATGACGCTCAAGTCAATAAGGGAGATGGATGATTAGTTAGGACAAACCGAAGAGAATAGACTGGTTTGAACCATGATTAATGCAATGGATGCAAGAATGAGTTGAGAGCTAAAAGTCCTTTACCTTGAAGGGAGATGCTTTTTAATAGTCAAACGTTCATGTTGTAGTCGGATGAGGTCCGCATGGTTGTCAAGATGAGGTCATCCATTGAGGATCTCGGGAGGTCCCACTTTCCTCGACAAGGTGTGCCTCATTATCTATGTAGGACTTTTTTTTCCTCGGGGTGCCTTTTCATGATACAACTGTGATGACGTGTGTTGACGTAGTCCGAAGACATTGACCACGGAATCCAACACATGGCAGCTTCGGCCAGCTGAGGTACCACCCGAACAAGTTCTATGCGTAACAAAGTCTACTAACAAGCTTTTTGGAGGAGCTACATCATCCTCAAGCCTAGTGGCAGGTGGAAAGCTAACCCAACCTCAAGTAGTGGAAATTTGGTGATAGGTCCCTTGCTTTTCTTTTATTTTTTTTTCCTTTGGTAGGTTCCTTTGCTGATTTAGGTGTCTCTATTACCTATTCGAATGGGTCTTTTCGTGCTACAAAGCGTCTTCATATAGACCTCATTCTTTTCTGCTCATAGAAACCTATGATGTTTTGATTGGTCTTCAAACTGCTTGATTTTTGGGTTTCCCCAATATTTGTTTGAACTATGATTGTCTCCCCTTAATCCAGTGTTTGATGAATCGCTTTTTGATTGCTGACAATGAAGCCTGGTTTGTGATTCAGGACATTAGATCTGAAAACTCTGTGTTTTGAGTTTGTTTCATGGAATTTTGTTCCTCATTCAAAAAACTGTGTTGTTCACTACTTCACTGTCTTGCTAGTGTTTCGTATCCAAAAGGTTTTTGGACTCATAGCATGCCTAGTTCTTTGAGTTATTTTCTTCACATCTTATGGCAATGCTTGTAATCAATGTTCTACTATATATGATGAATGATTTTTTCTTGGTTGTAACAAAAAAAAAAAAGATAGACACATTCTAAAATGATTATACAAAGGAGATGTGCATAGAAAGTGTTAGACTATATATTTTTTTTTCTTTTTTTGTATTTGATATCGTTCTTTTGACAATAAAGTTGCATTTGGAAATGATGTAAATGTATATATAAATGCTACAAGTCATGGCACCTTCGGTTCAGGTGCATGCAAAGTGAGACTCTTCTCGTCTGGAAGCTAACAGTGCAAAACATATGAACTTTTTTTTTTTTAATGAAACCAAGAGGGGCTACACAAGACCAGGGAGGGGGGGGGGGGGTAGAAAGTAAAATCTGACAAGTTTACTTTGATCTTTAGGGCATTTTCACATCATTTCCAAACGTATGTAAATTTGGACTAGGGTGCGATAATGCAATGAATCATCATTTATATTATATCCAAACACAACCTAAGTTTTTTTTTTGGGGGTGGGGAGAGTTGGTTAATGATGCAATGGGAATCTTGTTCTTTTGTTAGTGACTAAGTGTAGGAAACAAAATTTTCCCTTGGGCAATTTTTTTGGAAAATTATCGAAGAAAAGTTTTACCTTGGTCGTAAGTGGATAAGTTATTTATCATGGAAAGGTAAAAAATGGCCAAATCAATGCCTATGCCACTCAGAAAAATTAGGGGTCTTCTAGAAAATATCTTCAGTTATCCAAATAACATTTTCTGGAAAAAGAATGGGGTAAAAAATAAACCTGATGATTAATCGAAACGAGGGCGATTTTGTCTTTTTAATCTTAGGGACTGCCCCTTGAGAATTAAGATGTGCCCAAATTGTCCCCCCATTCATAAAAAAGAGAAAAAAAAATCTTTGGTGCCAATCCGTGAATCGCACRGATCACTGCTGGTATATAATGACATCCGTATATTTTTTTTGATAGAAAGGTATGTGAATGGTCTTCTTCCACACAAAGCACGAACTCTCAACTTGCTTTAGGGCGCTCTCTCTCCATCTCTCTTTTTCCGCACCGAGAAGAAGATTTTTCTTGGCTGGAGCAATAAATCCGTATCTTCCAGTCCATCTCTCGGATCGTTGCTTCGATGCCTGCAAATTCTTTCCAACTTTCGCCATTGCAGAACCCTAAGCAGTCCGAAACCGCTCCCTTTCTTTGCAGAGAGGCGGGCGTTTTCGGCTTCTCTGTAACTAGAAAATCCACCAATCTGTTGTTCGTCTCTCAATTCAGAGGGCGCATGACTTATACTGTTTGAAGGCTCTGAAATTTCGTGTCTCCATGGCGCCCAGTCGCAGAAGAGGTTCTAGCAAAGCTTCTGCCGCCGCCGCCGCCGCCGCCGCCTCCCGGCGGCAATGGAAGGTTGGAGATCTGGTTCTTGCCAAGGTGAAGGGGTTTCCTGCCTGGCCTGCAACAGTATGTACTCGATTCTCCCCCTTCCTTCAAAAAAAAAACCCTTTTTTCTGCCCCCCTTGGGTGCTGAAACTATAATTTGGTCGTGTTTGTGTTTTGTTTGTCAAGTAGTCTGACATGATATTAGTGATCATTTTGTGTCGTTTAGTTCCATGATCCAAGGCATGGGAAGGTACTGAACTTGGTATCTTTCTCTCTTCTTAGTTGCATGCCGTCGTACATTTGATCTTTGTTTGAAGGTTAGGATATTAGATGAGAAAAACAATTACTGTGATATGTATTGCATATTGTTAAGATATCTTCAAATATCCATATTTCCCCTGTATGATGGTCTACACTTATCCATTTCAGTGACAGTGCTATCAGTATGGTGAGAAGATGACTAATTGGTTTGGCCTCTCTAGTCGATGCCATGAATAAAAAGGATATGTTTTGAATTTAAGGCATTGATGCAAACGTTTAGTTAATTTAGACCTCAACTATACAAGAAACGAACAGTATCGAACATTTAGATTATAGTCTGTGCAAACATAAACAAATTAGGATGGATAAACTAGGGTATGGAATGACAACCTTTCTTTTCAAAACGGCCTTTGTTTGTGGCAGTTCCATATCAAAGCACCACAGATTGGAAGAAAACTTATAAGAACTAATACTTTGCCTACTTCTGTTTTATGCATTTTTTTTTCTACTTTTATAATTTATATTACCATCAATCAACTGAGTTGATGACTAATTGACAATTTGAAAACACTGATCCATTCATAACCAACAATTCTGTTTTTTTTTTTATGCTAAACACTTTTTTAGATTAGTTTTTCTCATAAAAATCATTCCACCATGCATTTTTAATTATTATTTTAATAGTTATTATGCTCGAGGTTAATGTCTAACAGTACTATGCTTAATAAAATTTCACCATGATCATTATACTCTGGATTTACTAAATGGTGTTTATGGCAGGTAAGTGAACCTGAAAAGTGGGGATACTCAACTGATTGGAGGAAAGTTCTTGTTTACTTCTTCGGAACCAAGCAAATGTGAGTAGTTGATCCCATGCCATTAAGGGGTTATATGTTTACATTTGTATTTCTAATCAATGGATGATGTTATTGTTTTACTTTATGCGCAAAATTTTTTGCAGGCACAATGCCTTCACATCACAAGAGTGATGCACTACAGGCTAGTGACAATTCCTTCAATTGCTTTTATGGAGTCAACGTTATAGACATGTTTACTAAATAATAAATAGTGATTACGTGATACTTGTTACTGGAACAAGGCTTGGCTATCTTAGGGTCTTCCTTTTCTTTATTCATTTTTGGATCTCTAAGCTATGAGTTAAAAGGGGGGGGGGGAGATTCCCTCCATACAATCAGCACCAGGGCCTACAGCCAAAACATAAAGGAAGCCAAATTAAAAAGTAAGTATAGCCATTTGTACAGATTTTTCCATGTCTTGGCTGATGGAAGAAAGGAGTCATGAAATTGAATTATGAATGGAGTGAATTTATGGACCTGGATGGATTTGGTCGAAATATTGTCTCTTACTAAAAAAATACTTTTGGTCACTCCCTGGATATATCATCCTTAAATTATGGGGCTTCAGTGAGAATCCATTTCCCATTAAGACAAGAACAAACGTGGGGCAACTTTTGAGGAGGAAGAGATAAGGGTAGCCATTTTTAAATGAACATGGAGAAAGCCCTAGGCAAAATAGGTTCACAATGTCCTTTTTTTCAGGATTTTTGGGATTTGATCAAAACAGGGTTGCTTACAGTGTTTAGGATTTTTTTAATGAATGAAGATAATTTTATTAAAACCTGAAAATTAAAGCATTACACGATACCCATGGAGAGGCACGAGCTGTTACCTCTCGTATCAAAGTATTACATCAAGCTAGAACAGAAACAAAACAGAAATAAAATTACAGTGCAGCCCAAAATAAATGTTCCCTTGAAGCCCCTTGCTTAGCTAACCCATTTGCTAACGTATTTGTTGTTCTTCCCACCCAAAGAGAGGTAATAGTCATGCTCCTTGTGAACCACTTAACTTTCATCAATAAGTCTCTGTATCGCCACATAACTGAGCCCGGATCTGTCAACCATCCTACAACAACTTTGGAGTCTCCTTCAATTACCAAATTCTGAACTCCTAATTGGTTTGCAATGTTAATTCCTTGTACAGCCGCTAATATCTCATCTCTTTTAGAGTCTCCTATTCCTGCGGGGCCTGAAAACAAGGCTAAGATGTTACTGTCCTTATTTCTCAGGACCCCTCCTATCCCCGATGGGCCTGGATTTCCTTGACTGCTATCATCAAAATTCAGCTTTTCCCAACCTTTAGATGGAGGCACTCACACTGCAGATATCCTGTCCTTCCTCGTAAGATACAGTGTTTAGGAATTTTATCATAAGGGTAAGATTAACAAGGTGGTAGTGCCATATCTTAATACCGTTAACCCCAACGGAACAGTGTACAAATGGACCAAGCAGTTTCAGACTAATTAGTTAGCTACAAGCCTCTATAAAATTATTGCCAACGTGTTCCTCTTAAGACTTAGGGAGGCCTTAGAAACAGTAACTCACATGCTCAAGGGGCCTTTCTAATGTATATATGGAGGCCGATTTTGGATCAGATCCTGATTGCTAATGAAGTTGTATGTGATTATAGGACTAGTGGTTAAAATGGTTTGATCTGCAAAATGGATATTGGAAAATCTTACAATCATGTAGATTGGGACTTTTTTAAAGGGATTTTATCTAGGATGGGTTTTGTATTTATGGGCAAGTAGGTTCCCCCTTTTTTGGTTTGAACTATGAACTTGAAATTTGTCCAACCTCATTTTTTGGGCCTCCACTTCAACCTGAGGTCGTGACAACTGAAACTGTATCAGAAATTTTTGGATGGAAATGAAGATAGATGAGGAGAAATCGTTTGTGCTGGCTAATTGATGGAGGCAATAAAGCTTTCCGTTAGAGGAGAGCAGAGTAAGGGGGAAGGTTTCTATGAAGATTAGAGAGTTGAAGATCGCTATGGTGGTGCTTGTAGGGGAGTTGTGAAGCATCTGAAAAACCATAAGTCTCATTTGAAGCAAGATTGCATTCAACAGAAGGGGAGAAAGAAGAACTTGTAAATGTGACAAGCAGTGTTGGAAAGTCTAGACTCTAGAGTGGTTGCCCTTGATGGGAATCGATTTGGGGAGTAGTTAGTGGCTGAAATGAAAGAAAAGGTTCAGGACTGGAAGTTGGTTGCAGATGCAATGCTCAAAGGTTTAAACCTGAAAGGAATTATGATAGTTGCACTGTTTGAGAAGTCTGAAGCTCTCATCAATTTGCTGGATGAAGTGTAGTTTGGAACATCAAACATAGAGTTGTTTGTGGTAATGTCTTGATATCAAGATGGTCTCCTTTATCCAACTCAAAGGATCTCTACATGGAAGATGAGGTTATAGTTCGCATTATTGGCCTGCCCTTCCACTTATGGAAACAAGACCTCTTCACTTCCATTTAGGGGTGCAACTTGGGCTGGGTTGGGCTGAGAATTTGTTAAATTTTTAGTGGGCCTAAACTCTAACCCAATCTTGATGTAAAGAAATTTCAAATTGGGTATTTGACTTACAGCCCTACTTCCATGACAACGATCTGCGGCGGACATTAGTTGGAGTTTTATGTTTGACCTTCACATCTTCTCAATGGGATAACCTGGAGGATATTCCCAAAGAGGGTTGAGGGTTGTGAGTATCAAGATTTCTTATTTAATTTGGTTGGTGTCCTTCATTGAAGAAATCCTTTAGATGGAGGCTTGTAGAGATGAAGATGAATGGTTATGTGGAGGGAAAGGGATTGGAGCTTTAAAAATGGATGAAGTTTTTCTAAATAACGAGGCTTTGAAGTAGGGTGTAGAAAAAGCTGGAAGTCATAGGGACAATGTTTTGTGTATGTGAAGTGGAGTTGGGTAGACATGTGATTGGTCGTACACTTTGGCAATTGCCAATGTGGTTCAAGTTGTGTCAGGTGTGGAGTAGGATGGTGGTGTAGTGGTGAAAGTGTGGGGTTAACTTGGGTTTAAGGAATAATTTTGAACCAACAATTGTGACTTGGTAGGTGACACTTTAAGTGGTAACGTGAAGGGAATTGGAGTGGGGCTAATTTTTAAACAAAGTAAGTCTTGTTTTGTTGGGCTTAAGGGGACCCAAGTAAGGTTCTTGTGTGGATTGACAAAGTAAATTGGTTGGAGGGTTTTGATGGAAGCTCAGGGCACACATGACTTCTTGAAGAAACAAGTAGGGGGTGGTTGATGGATTGTAAAAATTGTGTGTTGTCTTCTTCAACCCTTCTGGTGTAGAAGGGAATATGGTGTGGAAAATAGAGTTCTCACTCGTCTCTGTAGTGGATCTCGAGTAAAGGTAAGTTGTGTGATTCGCTTGAGAAAAGAAACCCTAGGCAAAATAGACAAAGAGGCTCTATATTGGTGGTTGTACAAGGAGAAGATTGGGTTAGTAATAGTGATATGGGAAGCGATTCAAATAGTGATTCAGACTCGTTTGCTTCGTCTAGTATTGGTAGTGTAACGAAGGGGCAAGGCTAGTGGTGCAGCTTAGGGTTGGTCCAAGTTAGCATTTTACATTGCTTAGGGCTCAAGCCTTTGGGTTGGGCCCATTCAAGTTTGGACAAAATCCCATCCTAATCTCGACCAAGTTGCACCCCTAGTCAAGCATATTTGCAAAACAAAGATTGTCTTAGTACCGTGATTCTTGTTCAAGAAGAATAAATCGAAGAGGGTTCATGTGACATCGGTAGTTCTAATGTGAGAAATTTAGAAGTCAAATGAGCGACAAGATATTTTGAACCGATTGGAGACAAGCAAAAGATACCCCCAACAATTGCCATACCAAGTCTTCAACGAATGCATGGTGTTTGTTGTGTGGATCAAAATTCTTCTTGGAGGCTTTCGTGTGGTGCTTTGAGTGAATACAAGGAAATAATGGTCTTGTAGATACGAGTGAGCCTTCGTTAAGTTCTGGTTGCCAACAAGTCTCTTCTTTCGTAAAGTATGCTTTATTGTTGGAAAGAAGCTAGTCCTCTGTTTCTCATTCACCTCCTCATAATCCAAGTATTTGTGGTGGTTTGGTTTTGGATGCTAATGCTTTCCCTATGATTGTTACAAAGGTTCTTGCATCTCAACTATCAACAGAGCAAGGGGAGGTAGGTGGTTTGGTGGTGGGGGTAACAAGGGACTAGGGAAGGCAGGAAGAAAGTGGAGTGGAAGGAGGGTTTGGTGAATGGAGTTGGCAACTAGTTAAAGGTTGGAAGAGCTAAAACAAAAGGAGGGGGTAGTGGATAGAGACATTTTTGAGAGTGGAACTATAAGGGGTTGTGCTAAGGGTGTGATGAGGATGGTAATGGTTTGGTGGTGGGGGTAACAAGGGACAGGGGAAGGCAGGAAGAAAGTGGAGTGGAAGGAGGGTTTGGTGAATGGATTTGGCAACTAGTTAAAGGTTTGAAGAGCTAAAACAAAAGGAGGGGGTAGTGGATAGAGGCGTTTTTGAGAGTGGAACTATAAGGGGTTGTGACAAGGGTGTGATGAGGACGGTAATGGTGATCAAGTTGATAATTAATAATATAGTTGAGCAGATTGGTTTGAAATTGAAGGCTAAAAGGAAAAGAAGAAGAAGAAACGGTTAAAGGTGTAGAATTTAATCTTAGATATAGAGGGGGTTATAAAATTTAGTGCTAGGAGGGGCAGGAGAAAGTGCCCAAGTAGTGGGTTTGGGTTGGGAGGTCAATCAAAGTATGTCATTAAGTTTGTCAATTGGAATGTTAGAGTCATTAGTAGTGCGAGGGAGAGAAGATTAATTAAGAGATGGAGCTAGCAGATGTAGTTTTGCTACAAGATGGAGCTAGCAGAGTTGGATCGGAGATGCGTAAGAAGTGTGTAGTGTTTGAGAAATGTTAGTTGGGTGGAGGCTCCCTCTTGGGGAGCGTTGTATGGATTAACTTTGTTGTGGAAGACATACGTAGTAGAGGACTCAGAGGAAT